AAAATTAATTAAATCTTCACCTATATCAAATAAGAGATGTATTTCTTGCTTTTGAATTTGAGTAATTGCTTCTTCACCAAAAAGAATGCCAGACAATTCAGTTCAAAAGAAGTTCACTTTTGGGAGCTACACCACACTGTTGATCGGGTGTGTCATTTTTTATTTGCTTACAAATGTAAGTTCGCATTACCCTATTTACATATTGAAGCATTACAGGATCAGTCACTTATGTAAATAAATATTTGTTTGTTTTAATTTTTAGTTTAGTATATTTTGGTGGTTTTTTGGGAGTTTCTGACTTTAAAACAAAAATGTCCCTGAAAAGAAAATAACTAAAAAATACACCCAAAACATAAAATAACAATTGGACTTCAACTCTTTACGTCACTTTATAGAACTTTATCATTGGTAGGCATCTGTTCTGGACTATGGTAATGGGAATGGATACAATGGGCATTGACGATGGTAATGCCCAATAAATAAGCCACTATTAGCTTTCTGTACTACTTTATGCCTCTTTGGATTGGGGCATAGTAGGATGCCATTTGATCTAAAAGACTCCTTTTTGACAAAATTGTAGTTAATGACACATTGTGGCTTCAGCACATGCTCTTGGGTTTTCTTTGACTTCTTCCCAGTGTCAGTGTGTGTTTTCACAGATGAAAGCATATGAACAGGTCTTTTGTTCACCCATTTCATTACCCAAAATCCTTAATTATCTTCTAGCCCACAAACTTAACCTTTTTTCAGTTACTGTTTTACCAAATCTTTTGTAGTATCTTGTCTGTTTTTTATGAGTCTTGTATTTTTGGCCCTCAACTCCTCTTGAGTTAAATCTATGCTTGTGTAAAAGTTATCAGTGTAAAGGGAGACCACTGCAGAGTTGCATAGAAGACAGTGTAGCTCTGTGAAATTCCAGGATTGGACATCTATTTACCCTTGTAGACCTGGCTGAAATAAGTGTACCCACATGGTGTACACAACTTGTAGACTTTGATCCCAAATTGTGAATATGGGATCAAAGTCTATGTAATTTTTCAGGAATGTACTGCCAAAATAGCAGATGACCTAGCCAAGTAATCATTGTTTTGTTGATGACAATCTGTGCCCCTGGAGTAATAGCATTCTTGAATTTGTTAGATAATTTGGTGAGAATTTCTCTAACTTTGTACAGGTGGTCACTCTTGTCAAATGAACTATTATTAGAAAAATGCCAAAAACTCAGCAGAAGTTTGAATCTCTCTCAAGACATGATCAATCTTATAAGGCAGTTTTTATACAAGGAATCTTTAGAACAATAAAGTCTGACATTTGGCAAGGGAGATAGACCCATGCAAGTCATGATGGCCAGGAACTTTGACAGTTTTTCATTGGTGCCATTTTTTTTCAAACAAGATTTTGATATCAACGTCTTGCCTGCAAAATATTGTTCAGTGTATCTGTTGGTCTCATTCATCATTATATCTAAAATATCATCCCTGTCAAAAAATTGAAAAATGTCCAATGGATCATATAGATCATATAGATTAATGTTACAAAGGTTTAACATTTGATTTCCTTGAAATTGTGGAATATTATGAGGTGTTGAACCAATTGGTTGCCAGACAATATTAGTAGATTGCTGAACAATGGAATTATTACTGTCATCATCTTTGTCACTGGCCAATGAATTATTATCAGGGGTGTCAGGAGGTAGTTCTTCATCATTTTTTGACCCTGGAAATGATTCAGATTTTTCATCTGAATATGGTTCAAAGTGAATCCTCCAACTCATGAGTTTTTGGATTCAAAACTTTTTGAGACACCCATATACTGATTTGGTTTTCTGACATGTTCTGTTAGTGTGACATGCTAATTATTTCAAATAACATATATTATGACTACGTTACACCTCTTGTTTCAATATGATAACAAAATTTACTTACAAAAAAGGGGAGTACCTATGGGCAGCCCCCTATTAGGTGACCTATATGAATTAGTCATATTCACCTTGGAACATAAGATTCTACTATCGTTCCTCTCAGAGATAATCACATACAAGCAGTATATTGATGATATCTTAATCATTTGGAGGTCTAAGCTTGATATCAATAACTTCTTACAATGCATAAATAGTAACCCTTATGGTCTCACACTTAACCTCAAACAATGAAACGACAAACATGCCCACTTCTTAGACCCGAATATCTATTTTAAAACAGGCCAAATTGAAACGGACATTTATTATAAACCAGGGTACCTACTGTTATTCATACTGGCAGCCTCAAATGATCTGAATACATACAAAATAGCAGTGTTTAGATCCCTCACAAAAAGAGCATTTACACATTGCACAAACATCGTTGACACAATGCAAGAATTAAAACATATTGAAGAAATAGCAGTGGTACATGGATACCATAGAACAATGGTTCAAAGATTAGCAGAAAACTATATTAAGAAAATGAATAATCACACTGGTTCTAATATTAACAGGGGTGATAGTAAATATTTAGTACATATCAACATATACTAATTGATTATGACCAGGGGTTAAAGGCTCTATATAAAGAAATTGCTATGAATAGAGGGTGGGCAATAACATATGTATAACCCAACCATTTATTCGATATTAAGAAAAGGCAAAGAACCCATTAACACCTACAATGCACGGGGTATACAGTATACTGGTTATAGATGACAGATTTAGCAGAGATCTGATGTAAATTAGGTTGACCAAACAGTCTCTTGAAAAATGGCTAGTGGAGCATAAATACAATATACATAACAAAAAGCAGACCACTGCTATAGCAATATATGCTTCTGAAACTGGTGTTGAAGCTAAATTCAAGCCAACCTCATTAAATGCACATTTCACACCAAGCAGATCAAAATTTTGGAGGCTCTAGAAATATGTAAAGCTGAGCTAAAGGGGAATGCATAAATTTTAATTGAGGAGGACCTTGCATGCCTGGAGGACTTTCTTTGACGATCCTAACAACATTAGTAACAAATAGAAATCTATTACTTCTGTTAGGATTTGTTACAATATTCACGCAAAATTTTTATGTTAATGTTTATTTTATTGTATTCTAATGTATTCAAATTTTAATTTTTAATTTTAATTTTAATTTTTATTTTATTGTATTCTAATGTATTCAAATTTTAATTTTTTTTTAATTCTAATGTATTCAAATTTTAATTTTTAATAGTTGTGATTTTTATACATGTTAGAATATTTAACCATTAACACATAGATGGGAATTTTTGTATTTGTTTGAATATGTAATCTTTAGCAAATTTTAAATTTAGAATTGCTCTTTAAGCATTCCAAATTTTTGTCTAGAACATTTGACCTGAAGCAGATCTCAATCAGGATCGAAAGCACCTAATTTAATTATAAAGGTTTGTTGCTGTGTGAAGATTTAGATGTATTATGACAGTCCATTTACCAAACATGAAATAAAAGTAGCCAAAGCCATATTCATATCAAAACAACTAACCTGACACAGTATATGATGTTGACACAGAAAAAAAAACTAAGTAACTAATTCATGATGAACCAAGTACACAAAATATGTTATAGAATGTGGCCATTAAAGAATCAATGTGTTTGCACCAAAAGTGTCCTCATGTGCAAAAAAGGCCACAAGACACAGATGACTTGTACTGCCCATGATCGACTTTAATTATGATAGGGCTTAATGAGTCACCCATGTCTCACATTATTGGAATAATATTTTTGACCTCATCTAATGATATAATATAATATGATGCTTGTAAGACTATTTGTTATAAAATAAATGCCCTGCTTCATGGGATAACCAAGAATTCTGAGAGTGGCGCTATTTGAATGCCTCTGTACAAGTTGTGTGTCAACTAACAATCACAGTCAAAAGTATTTCATGTTATCAATTTTTTTCTTCACTGCTAAATACCATTAAATGAGGACATTTTCTTTTTGGTAAAATATCGTCATTTTTTGAGCTTCCCTATTGACCTTAATCTGAAGTATCAGCAACATCTTGATTTTTCTCTATTTTCTTAAATAAAATCTGATATTTTCATTTGTATGCATTTGTCTAAGAGATCTTTAAGGTCAGTACTTCTTTAATCTATAAAATCAAAACACAATGACAGTGTTTTGAGTTTAGAGCATTATTACCAGTGACACCTGATTTATAGGAAAGCTAGAATAGGAAGCTAGAACAGGAAGCTAGAACAACAAAAAATAAAAATTCTACAATCAGTTATCATTAAAGAAAATTGGGTGTAAGACATGAAACAGCATTGGAAATTTCAATATTTTAAAATCCATAGACAAATAGGAGACATGTATGCTTGTTTGAATTAAAATAAAATATAGAATGACAGTGTTTGCACTTAAAAATTGTGACATTTTGTATGGGATGTCTTTAGTTCTTGAACTGCATTTTAAGACCACGGTGTTTTACAGAAGGATATCCCTAATTCTTGAAGAAAACTGTGTTGTAGGAATGCCATGTTTTACAAGGAATACCTGTATTTAATATTAATTAAAACATTATTCAAATTTACTTTTTTTGGGATGGGATGGGGTGGAGTGAAAGTTGGAGAATAATAGCATTAATCATTTTTGCCTTTTAATACAGTCATAGAAATATGGCAACTTTACATAATTCACACTTGCCTACAAATTGATTTTTAAATATAGATACAGTGTGTGTTATCCACAGGAAAGTATGGTAAATTGAATTTTGGTATATCAGAAAAATGTGTCTAGTATGAAATTCAAATCTGTAACTCTGATCAACAAGAATTATAAATTTCTATTATTCAAAAATTAAAATTTACTCCCTAATGCTATGATGACTTTTAACTAACTAAATTAATAATTTTAACTAAAAATGATTATCATTATGATTTTAATGTTCCATTATAGTAATGAATAGAAATTTTAATTTAATTTAAAAAATATGTGATAATATTTTAAAACAGAACTTGATACATGAATTTTAAATAATAAAGAATTAATATATTAGGTGATGTGACATTAGCAAGACTTGATGTGAAAGAAAGTGCCCTAGATGAACTAGATTTACCAGTCAAAGTTGTTTCAGGACATTTAAGTAAGTATATTTTTTTATTTCAAGTGTAATTTGTTATGTATATTGAGTTTTAAATTAAATTGATTTTTTGAAGTTTATTTGAATTTCTTTTCAGAACTGTTTAAGTAGAAATTGTTAAATTTCTTCATAAACCATATCTTGGAATTTATTAAGATGCTTTAAATTTTAGTATATTTGAAATGGAAATTTAAACTGAAAATATTAATTGATTTGATGGAAGGATGAAATAAAGTAGAAATTTAATCCAAAAACAGTATAATAAACTAGATGTGCTTATTAAAATTCATCAAACTAACCAGAAATCTATAAAAAAATTACACACTTTAATCAAAGCAAATGTTTTCAGTTGCTTTTAGCAATCATTGTCGCATGTATATTTGTTAAAGATATAGAACAAATTATATAACAACAGTTTTTGTTTTATTGTTTGTTCCATTGTACAATATTGAAAAATAGTCTTTGTTTTGATTCCTAGAGGATTGTAGTGTTTGGAATAATGATTTTTCTAGTGATATCTTACTCCTCTGTGTTTCAGTTCAACAATAAACTTTACATACAATAGAGTATCCCTATGGGAATCCCATTCAGATGACCTCTGTAAAATGGTTATAAGAATCCTAGAATAGAAGTTCTCTCCATCTTCCTCCCTGACATTTTGATATACAAGAGATATATATTGATGATATACAAGGTGGTCATAAAGTAACTTGACCAACGAATCGTGATCTTGGGAAACACTCCCAATATCACAATTTGTTGAAACTCATCACAAAGCTAGGAACCTTTTTGAAACTTTTGCAGTGCAAGTACAGGGTGACATGCATTTGCGATACACAAAAATTGGGGTAGAACGCTTGTCATGGTTATGGTTAATGTAACTGTATATTGAAACTTCCATTATAAATACTGAGAATTCATGATGTAACAAGATTATGCCTGACAGAAAACAGTATAAGGCACTGGAAAATGTGTAGAATGTAAAACAATGGTGATATCAGTGTTAGGAAAATGGGAAGTGGGTGAGCCTCTATACATGACAGAAGACCCGTACAGGTTCATAGATGAGGCAGCAGCACCATAGCTAAAGCTTACTGTGATATCAGCTGTGGGGTATAAAAGCATCTGTTGAACAGAATTCAGACAAAGTGTAAGTTCTTCCATTTTCTACTTTGGTTACACTTTTCACAGCATAACCAAGGCAATCATCAATTTTATCATTTCTCTGCAACAGCATTACCAAGTTTTTTACAGAATCCAGCTATAAAGTATTAGCTTGTAATTGGAGAGGAAACAAAAGAAGCACCGACCTTGCTAATTGGATCCACATGTGATCTGGTGATAGGCCACTTGCCAGATGGTGAACTCCTGGCTGTAAACAAGTGGGTCGGATATCGGTGGATGTAAATGTAAGCTTCACTTTCATCCGATAAAAGTGGACCTGGGTGAAAGCTGCTTATGCAAGGAAGATTTGTAATTGGTCAGAAGTTTCTGTCCAAAAAATCCTTAAATTGCAGAGCTAACAGGAGAGAGGAGAAGGGCTTGAGACTGGTAACATGGAAGTCTCAGGCACTTGGGAAGCCCACTGAGTTTAGAGAGAGCATACTCTGGTAACTATCTCAGGAACAGGTAAGTGCTGAGACTGGATGAACTGTGCATTAGAGCCACTCCACAGGCTGACCAAGGCTTCTCCAGAGCTTAATAGTTCCCAAAAGCCAAACTAGTGTGAGGCACCACACTTTGTGTATCCAGTATTTACTGTGTTTTCCATCTTGTATACTCTATATATATATTTTGTAAATAAACTGTATACGTTGATTATTTTGAGTGTGGAGGTGTGCTTTCACCAAACTTTAGATCAGAACAGTATCAAGTCATGCTTAATTCGGAAAACCAACTCGAGATGGAGTTTGGGGAAGAAACTTCACTTCAGCTATGAAGTCTATTACCTTGACTCAATGCTTGACACCATCTCATTTACACCTGGAAATATGAAGAATCAGCTGTAATCATTATTGGAGAGGAATGAGTTGTTACATTTGATAATATATACAGTTCTTTTGGCAGTATCAATACTGGAAATATCACCATAAGTATCAGCTAGAGAAATGGTATGAATTTTGCTATTGAGGAGTCCTTCAACATTGTTGACATTGATATAGTGGGTGAATTTCCAACATCATGTTTAGGCAATAAGTGAATAATTGATATCATTGACTTCTTAAGTAACTATATTTTAAATTGGGCCACAACTAACTGTAAGTGAGGTTGCTGACTGAAATCATCTTAAAGAATGACACATTGAGAAATTAATCAACAACCAAGGACATTTTTTTCTTTTCCAGTCAGTGCAGAAAGTGCTTGCCATCTTTGTCATTGCTCATCAATGGATGATTACTTACAATCTACAAATCAACAACTTACAGATGCTAGTGAACATGAAGGCTATGTACATTGATTTTAACCATCATCAATAGTTGTAAAACATCAACATATGACTCTCAATTGGAATAATGAGAATGAGATAGTAAACAGATATCTTTGTTTTCTTGGTCATTCAACAATTGCTAATTTAAAATTATTTAATGAAAGTATGTCAGGCCTAGAAAAAACAAATTACTTCAAATATCCATGGACCTAATGTAAATTTGCTCTTTTTGAAAGAAATGGAAGAAGAAGAAAAAATGAAAAATTGAACAATCTGGAATTGCTGAGAATCATAGTTGTGGCACATTATGATATAAAATGTGCATTCAAAAATGCCATTTTTGCAACTAAATTGAACTTAACAAAATATTTGAGCTTTTTATAATCTCTCTAAAAATGTGCCAGCTTTGAAGAGCACTCTATTGGTCTACATTCTATTTACAATCTAAAATATTTCCTCTGAAATTTTGCTGTTGATTGTAGTCTGCATCTGAATTGCAAACACACTTTTTTCTGGACCTCGAAGTATCAAAGGACTTGAACAGTAAAGATAGTGAAGTGTTAAGTTTCAAAGTTTTGAATTTTTTTTGGGGATAGTGACAAAAGAAACACACAAACACCTTTTGACAAACAAAAAGATTTAACAAAACAGCTTCAGTTTTGGTTTCATTTTGAAATAAGATGAAGCAGGATCTGAGGTTAGTTGTAAAATTCAAAATATTAGTAGTAGTAGAAATATTAGAAAGCAACATAAGTATTAGAAATCTTGTAAAATGGCAGCGTCACAGGAAAATCTTTATAATCGACCATCAAGTGAAGAATTACCAACAACCAACATTGAAAGTGATGAGTTTGCATTTATTGCATTGTATGAAAGAAAACAGTATATTACAGGTGGCATGAAATTTTGTACCCAAATTTTGGAAAAATTAAACATTTGCTGGTCCTTTCATAATGAAATTATATTGAAAAAAGCAATGGCTTTACGTAAAAAAATTTTCTACAGCTATTGACATTTTGAAAGAATTGGATTTTGACAAGGTAGAAGAATTATTCCTGCTAGAAGAAAACATCTCAGAAAAGGATGATGGAAAGAATATTCTGTACATTTCTGAATCATCATCACCAAAAAAATCACTTCCATGTAATAGCACTTTGTATTTAATTGTGTTGGATAGTGAAGATTATGAGCCAGAATCTAAAAAAATTGAAAGCAGAATACATATTGCTTGACAAAAATTAAGATTCTGAATTTGGTAAGAGAACATCTTAATTGGAGTTTAAAAACCATTCAAAAGAATTGAGGTAGTGCACTTCGTTCAAAAAGGACTTACAGAAATGGAGAAAACAAATTGAAAAAGGGGGAGGTGTAAAAGAAAAATTTGACATGCTTGATAAATGGACTTTCAATTGTTTCTGTGAAGCCTTGACAGCAGATACAACCTGTGGCAACAAGAATATTACAGCAATGGGCTTCACAAGCTGCTGTTCAATTTGAAGAGCCAGAGTTTTACAACATTATGTGGATGGATTAAAAAATTTAAAACTACTTATTCTATTTGTCAGAGAAAGGTTACGAAGTATATAAAATCAAAAAATGCATTAGATCTACCTACTTGTTAATTCTAAAGCTGGAACTATTTTCTAACTACTAAAATTCAACCTACCTCTCACTTTCCAGCATTCACTGATTAAAAACAAATGTTTTTGGCTACCTTCAGTGGCCTGCATCAGATTAAGGAGATTCTATATCGAATGTCTATATTTTAATTCAAAGACAATTACATGAATGAAAAATGGTGTTATTCCAGATGGGAACCTGCTATAGATGTTTGATACAGCAGCTTTGTCAAAGAGGTATTGCTAGATTATTGTAAAGATCAAGAATTTATACTAATTCTGAATTCAAGGGGGGTCAGACAGATCAGGCACATTTTAACTGTGTGTTTACAGATGATGATGATAGCAACTGCAAATTGGTTATTGAAATTATTCCTCCTCACTGCATTCCATATTGTCAACCTTGTGATGTCTATTTCTTCTGATAAGTAAAAGATTTCATTAAGAAATTTCAAAGTTTTATTGAGATTTTGCAGAATAAATATCAATTATCTACTATGGAAGGTGCTATAAAAATTCATTCATTTATTCATCATCACTTATCCTCTTCAATTTTCAAAGACATAATAAAATATGCATGGCAATATGCATCAAATATAATATATATATATATATATAAATTGGGCTATTTATTATGCTGTAATTAATAATTAGGAACTAAGTAATTTGATACTACAGTTTCTAATTAGTTTCTAATTATTAATTATAGTATAAAATAACCTGATTATTAATGAAAATTGTTTGGCTTAGTTTGCATCAAAACTGATTACACAACAAAACATATTTAATAATAAAAACTAGATATTTTCTGCCCATTTAAGAGACGAGACAATTCAAATGTGAATGCTCAGTATTTCTGTTTATAAAATGCATGGTTTGCCAGAAATATTTGTGTTACATGTTTTTATGATATACAGTAGAGCATCGATTATCCGACTCAATTGGGGACTGGGTTGGTCAGATAATTGAAAAGTCAGATAACCGAAAAGTATGAAAAAATCCATTATTAGTGTAGTATATTATTATATCCCATGTAATTAGTATATTAGTATATTGCTATTAACCTACTTCGCGTTGAATTTTCCTCCATGTTAAGCCTATCAAATTTTTTTTTAAAATAATAATCGTTGCTATTGTATCGTTAAAAATTAGAAAATTAAGCCTCATTTAAATACTGGCTCCCTTTCATGGTCGATCCAGTGTTGCCAGCTAAAACACGTAAAAATAATATTAAAGTAGCCAAGACATAGCCAAATATTGTAGCTCTACATCACTAGCGGACATTTAAATTTGCCGACTAGAACGCCCTGGTTAACTGAGGTGACGGTTAATCAGGGGTCGGATAATCGATGCTCTACTGTATATCATCTGACAAATTGTAAGCAATTATAATAAAGTTTAAAAATTGACAATAAGATGTACAATGAATATACTGTCATTTATTTCCAATTGTTGACACAAATATTTTATTAAATATGCAAATACAGTGTAGGACCATTAAGCCGCGGGCCAGTAATCCGCAAATTCGCTTAAGCTGCACATAAAGCTTGGATCCCAATTTTTTGACACAATGGATCGTACAGACCTGGACATGGCCTCTCAAACACTTGAGAGAGGTGTTGACAGCTGTCATTTTGGCATTTTGAATGTCTGTGATTGATGTGCTATGCACTATTGTGGATTAAATATTTAAATGCTGGCTTATAACTTCAAAGAAGTATTTATAGAAGATTAATCTTTTATTTATCAATAAACAATAAAATAACTTACAATGAAATTCAAATACAGTATTAATCTGTTTTATCCACACTGAGTGTCAGCATTATGGAGGCCACCATTGTAACCGATTCACATCTTACAATGCTACAAGGTTAATCTGCAGTAAATTCACAGAAAATTGACTCGTATTTAAAATACTGTGTATTATTTTTAATTTGATAATCTGATAAAACTTGAAATTGTATAAATATGAGTCACAAACCCAACATAAATCACTTCAGTTTCTGAATCTATAGTGAGCACATCATATTTGCTTTAAAAATTTTTATACCATGAGTAATAAACGTAAACATGCTTCATATGATGTTTAGCAAAATCTGGATGTCATTGAAAGAATATGAAACAGTGAAACTCGCATTAAAGTAAGCAGAGAGTTAAGGTTACCTGAGTCATTATTGTAATTTATGCATTATCAAAAAATATTTAAGCCGCGGACTACCTGAGCTGTGCTAAGCAGTTTGGACTCCGATCACCATGGCTTAATGGCCCTCACTGTAAAAAAATTCTATAATTTTTACCTAATAAAAAAATATTTAAAATTTTTTGGAAATTTATGTCAGAACAATATCTGTTTGGCAGCCACCATTAATTAATGATCATTTTAACAGACTATGCTATGTGGTGCTTGTGGAATGTATCATCAATTATGGCTTATAACCATTTGCTGCAAACTTTTGAATTTTCAAACATTAAAAATTAATATTTGCAAGGTGCAATGGATTAAAACTTTGGACACATATTGGCTCATTTTCAATGTACTTTCACTATGTCCAAGCTCATTAAAATCAGTGGGTAGCCAACCATGTTCTCTCCTTGTGAGTCAAAAATTCAAATATTCTAGTACTACATGCATCTTAGTGTTCAGTCATTTACTACAATGTAGTTGAAATTGCTCTCACAATGTTATGAAAAATCCTTATGAATTGACATCCTTTCAGGAAAGTTTTTACAAGATTATACTCTGTCAAAGTTTTTGTATTCTACATAATTTGTTACTCTATTAAAGCATTTTTTGTTGGATTTGACATACTTTGCATGTTAAACATTCTTAATGGACATTAAAATTAAAATTTGTAGACTGAAGTATATCATTCATTACTATGGCATTTTAGTTTTGAATATTCAAGTCATTTTGGAATTGTTAATTAGGTATATGAATTAGGTCTATTTGTTCAATGACCACTGAAACTTGTTCAGAAAAAAGTGTAAGAAATAAACAGTATCATTGTTTTTACTTTTTCTTTTATTTATATGTTTATTATTAAAAGCTGTAATACTATTAATTTGTCATTAAAAACTATTAGTTCTGCCAATTTATGGTACATCAAGACTTAAATGTCAGTAATGTCTTTTTGGCCTGGTCCCTTGAGAGATGTATAATAGTGCTTGACTATATTTTTGTTTGGTTTACATTTTTATTAAATAAAACTAATAAAAAATTAAATGAAATTACATAATTGTTATTTAATTTTAGGTAATCTTGTTCTGAAAATACCATGGAAAAATTTATATACTGAACCAGTTATTGCTAGTATTGAAGGCTTATTTGTTATTGTATTACCTAATCTTGGTATGTAAAATTTTAAGTTCATTTATATTTATATTGATTATTCTGATGATAAAATAATTTTAGTTTTCAATACAGTTGAACTGTTAGACTTTAAATAATTTTACTAATTTTCAGTACCTGTAGAGAGAATATTATTGTCATAAAGTTGGGATTTCATTTTACTTTATAAAATTTGACTTAATGAGGTTTTACTATGTTAAAAATTACAGTAATATCATTTCATAATACAAAAATATCATTTCATAATATTTTATTTAGATGAATGTTTCATATTGTAATTTTTTGTATTGCACAGTAATACCCCGAACTTATGCGATAGATGGGACCGAGCAATAACTGCGTAAGATGGGGTATAATTTCACAATTTGTGTAAAATCCAAGTCGGATGTATGTAAGCTAATAAATGTTCTCGTTAATTTTATCTCGTCTTTTGATTCATTCACGGTTACAAGAAATCACCACATAGTCTCTCAAGTCTCCGTAGATATAAATAACACAAAATAAATTGTAGCTATGTGTCGATTCCGCGCGACACATCCGAACATGTAAGTCAAACAATAGTGTGGGTGGAGTGAGTAATCGAGAGTTGCATGGTGCTCAAACAAAAGACGAATCGACAAGATTTGAAAATCACGTAACTCCAGGTTTGTGTAAGTCAGGGTAGCGTAAGTCGAGGTATTACTGTAATTTTTTAATAATTGAATTTGATTATTTAAAAGGTATGATTCTGATGATATTAATATATTAATTACTTAGCACTAAGATGATAATACAAATCATATAATCTTTTGTCAATTCTGATTAATATTTTATTTCTCCAAGGTAAAGAGAATTATTAAATTAGTAGCTACATCAAAATTTAGAATTTGACATGCAATGTTATAATATCAAATATTAGAAATATGAAAAAACATCGTGTTTCACTTTACAAAAGTGAATTTTATTATTATTAGCCAGCCTGAATTAATGTATTCAATAAAATGTTGAATCAAATGTATAATTTTAGTGATTTCATTTAGTGCACTAAATTTATTATTTTACTTTTTTATATAAGAGTTTAAATTTAAAAATCAGTATCATATTAAAATGAATTTGAGTACTTCATTATTTTAAAATCAAAAACAAATTTTAGCCACAAAATATAATGAAGAGAAAGAACAGAAAGCTGCTCAAGATTATAAAGAAAAGGAATTGCGTAGAATTGAAGAAATGAAAATTAAAGAAGCAAATAAAGGTTTAAATTTTTGAAATATATAATATGTTTAATAATAATTTCACAAGCTAAGAAGTTGTAATGAAAATTATTTACAGATGAAAAGAAAGATGAAAAAGCAGATACCTTTACTGAAAAACTTGTAACTCAAATAATTAAAAATCTTCAAGTAAAGATTAAAGATATTCATATACGGTATGAAGATCCATATACTGATCCTTCAAAGCCATTTTCAGTTGGTATTACACTTCATAATCTATCATTTGAAACAACTGATGAAAATTGGAAGCCTTGTATACTTCAAGACACAGTAAAATTAATTCACAAGGTAGATTATAAAAGTTTTAATGTAACACTATTTTTATTATATATTATTATAATAAAATATAAAGTAAAAAATCATTATCAACTTTATTATTTGGAATTCTCACAGTCTGTCAAATGTAAAGTAGAGAATGGCCTTGATGTTCTGTAAATATTAAGTTTATTTCATGAACCAGATACATTCAAAGGTTTTTTGCAGGATATGGGCTGTACTCAACAAAGTCACCTTCAGTAATTGAGAAATAGTATTTGGTTGACTACCAAGATACTTGCATGTTTGTTTGGATTTTTTAAGACAGTATCAGGGGTTCCAGCTACTACAGAAATGACTGCTACTGATTTTTCCAGAGTTATTCCAGTTCTATTTTCAAATTCTTGTATAATTAGGTTTTGTTCTGCTGTTTTTTTCTTTGACTCAGCTGCTGTGTAGATAGGTATTGGTCAAAGTGTTTTGGTTCAATCACAGTTATGACTGATGTGTCATGTTCTAATCATCTGTTAGTTTGTATTTGAAAATCTCATAAAATTTAAGCATGTTCATTTTCAACAATTTTATTAGCATTGTGATAATATTAGTTTTTTGCACAGATAGTTGGCCTTTTTGTCTCGATTCCAATGAATCACTTGTAATTTTGTTTGTTTGTAGTCATTCTGTGCAATCTTGCTACAGCTATTGACAAGGTAAGTCACTCTCTCTCTTGATTTTCTATGGGTCCAGAAATCATAAATTTTAAATGAAAAACTTATTATTCCTTCAAGCTGAAAATACTGTACAAAGTGATAATACACTGACCTTCCATTCATTTCCAGCAATTCTGTCAATATAGACTCAAAAGCAAACACTTTTGGCCTCTTCAGGGGCCAGCATCAGGCTTCTATCAAAGATTTTAGTTGAACTTTTGGAATCTGGAATGCTTTTTTGAAAGAAGAATGTTCTGGGAGAAGCTCTGTTCGAATTAACTAAACCATCCATTTTTTTCCCTACGTCACTAACCAGTGTCATTAATATCCAAACATTTAACAAATTTAACACAGCATAATAATTTATCACAGAAACTTATAAATTATGGCTCACAAATAATATTTAATACATTGTTGAACGTAAAACTGTTTGCATATGTATGTTCCTAAAATTTATCTCCACATATAGGATTATTATTAATTATTGTGATGTGTTAAATTTGTTAAGTATTTGGGTGTAAATGGCATTGGTTAATGACGTAGTGGAAAAAAATGGATGGTTTAGTTAATTTGAATTGAGCTTGTTCTAGAACATTGCTCTTTTAAAAAAGCATTCCAGATATCAAAATTTTAGCTAAAGTCTTCAATAGAAGCCTGATGCTGGTCCATGAAAGAGGCCAAAAATGTTTGCTTTGTGCATATATCAATGGCATTGCTGGAAACAAACAAAAGGTCAGTGTATTATCAATCATAAAAAGTTTTTCAACAATGAAGACAAAATTATATTAAACTGCCATAATTTTTGTACTATTTTGTCCACAAAAAAGAGCATAGCCTAGTGTGATATTTTAAACCCATCTTTTGTGGTGCTTAATGTGTTAGAAGGTATTTATTAGAATAACTAGTCACTTTAGCTAGGAGCCTTAAGGCAAGGATGAAGAAACACTAATACACCCTTAAGAAACATCTGTCCAGTGTGGTGCTGGCCTCCTACTCTTTGGATAATGACATGCAAGTGGACTTAGAAAAGGCACATCTTTAAAATACTATGGACCAGCACCAATTAAAATATCTGGAAAGGTCATTTATAAGGCCTTTTAAAAAAGGGACAGCAGTTAACTATAAAGAAACAGACTCAATTTTGTTGGTGGAGTGTTTGAGCTTATCTAACTCTTAATGGTAATTCTATAATAGACATGTGCAAACCTCATGCTTAATTAAACTTTAATTTAAAAATGTTCTATTTTAGTTTTCAAATTACTGTTCTATTTTATATTCTCTAAATCGAACCTGACGATGTCTGTTGTATATGGAAGAAAAAATTTGTTGGAGTAAATGATTTTGTATTTTTTGCTGGTTTTTTGACATGTTTGATGTGCTTTACTTAGTTTTAGCCAATATCTCCATCATTGACTTCAGTATGTGATTTTGTGTCAATAAATGTGATATCTGATTGTTGTGATGTATTGTTTTAAATCTTGGTTGCTTCTTGTTCTCTATTATATGTATTTTCTTAGCACAATGTTGCCATTGAGAACATATCACACAGGAAAACTTTCAGAGGAAAAAGGTTGTCCTGTGTGATATGTTCTCAATGGCAACATTGTGCTAAGAAAATACATGTTTTGTTTGTGATTCTGGCTCAGAGTACGTTTTGTGTGTGTTGTTTTCTATGACTCTCTGAAGTATATATTTTTAGTATTGTTTTTTGGATGTGTATGTATTTGTATACAAACTTTTAATGCTTCATGTTTGCTATTTGATATAAGTAAAACATAAAAAACTGACAAAGAAACTGGAAATATATACTAAAACAACCACTTCACACCTAAGCGATAATTCCAGCAAACAAACACTAAAAGGTTTAATGTTCAAATATTTTCGGCCGTCTTTCAGAGGCCTTCGTCAGGAAAAACAGCATAGAACAGAAAAACAGCTCTATCTAACAGATTTTCAAATATAGCTGTGTTCTAATTTTTAAAATTTAAACGATGTTGACTACAACAATTGTTCCGTATTACAACATATAATTAAAAATATTTATAAATAAAGTTATAAATAAATACAATAATAATATATATGGTGTTAATATATACAATAATATATGTGTTGTTGGTAATATATTCATTGTTAAAAGTTAGCCCGATGTATAAACAATGTGTGATAGGGAAAAATTGTTTCCTTTAAAAAATCATAGTTATGCTTTGTGGCTTTGTAAATAATACTTCCACGATTGTGGAACCAAAATATAGTCGGCATTGATGCAACCTCCCTTCATGCCCGCTATATAAATTTTAATAGCCTCCAACGAACGTGTCGGTCAAACGCCCTGTGTAAAAGCGTAGCTTTATCCCAACAAGGAGAAACCCTGGGTTCAGTAGCATACTGGGCTAGTGCAGTATTAAACTTCCCCTTGGACACATCATACTTGTGGTCTTGTATTCTAGCCTCTAGAGATTGATATGTGGACCCGATGTATGTTATACGTCTATTGAAGCGACTGTCTTGCAATGGAATGCGGTACACTCCTGGCGCTTTCTTGTCCTCAGACTTGTCTTTTGCATTAGATAATATTATAAAAATGTTNAGATTTCATTAAGAAATTTCAAAGTTTTATTGAGATTTTGCAGAATAAATATCAATTATCTACTATGGAAGGTGCTATAAAAATTCATTCATTTATTCATCATCACTTATCCTCTTCAATTTTCAAAGACATAATAAAATATGCATGGCAATATGCATCAAATATAATATATATATATATATATATATTAATTGGGCTATTTATTATGCTGTAATTAATAATTAGGAACTAAGTAATTTGATACTACAGTTTCTAATTAGTTTCTAATTATTAATTATAGTATAAAATAACCTGATTATTAATGAAAATTGTTTGGCTTAGTTTGCATCAAAACTGATTACACAACAAAACATATTTAATAATAAAAACTAGATATTTTCTGCCCATTTAAGAGACGAGACAATTCAAATGTGAATGCTCAGTATTTCTGTTTATAAAATGCATGGTTTGCCAGAAATATTTGTGTTACATGTTTTTATGATATACAGTAGAGCATCGATTATCCGACTCAATTGGGGACTGGGTTGGTCAGATAATTGAAAAGTCAGATAACCGAAAAGTATGAAAAAATCCATTATTAGTGTAGTATATTATTATATCCCATGTAATTAGTATATTAGTATATTGCTATTAACCTACTTCGCGTTGAATTTTCCTCCATGTTAAGCCTATCAAATTTTTTTTTAAAATAATAATCGTTGCTATTGTATCGTTAAAAATTAGAAAATTAAGCCTCATTTAAATACTGGCTCCCTTTCATGGTCGATCCAGTGTTGCCAGCTAAAACACGTAAAAATAATATTAAAGTAGCCAAGACATAGCCAAATATTGTAGCTCTACATCACTAGCGGACATTTAAATTTGCCGACTAGAACGCCCTGGTTAACTGAGGTGACGGTTAATCAGGGGTCGGATAATCGATGCTCTACTGTATATCATCTGACAAATTGTAAGCAATTATAATAAAGTTTAAAAATTGACAATAAGATGTACAATGAATATACTGTCATTTATTTCCAATTGTTGACACAAATATTTTATTAAATATGCAAATACAGTGTAGGACCATTAAGCCGCGGGCCAGTAATCCGCAAATTCGCTTAAGCTGCACATAAAGCTTGGATCCCAATTTTTTGACACAATGGATCGTACAGACCTGGACATGGCCTCTCAAACACTTGAGAGAGGTGTTGACAGCTGTCATTTTGGCATTTTGAATGTCTGTGATTGATGTGCTATGCACTATTGTGGATTAAATATTTAAATGCTGGCTTATAACTTCAAAGAAGTATTTATAGAAGATTAATCTTTTATTTATCAATAAACAATAAAATAACTTACAATGAAATTCAAATACAGTATTAATCTGTTTTATCCACACTGAGTGTCAGCATTATGGAGGCCACCATTGTAACCGATTCACATCTTACAATGCTACAAGGTTAATCTGCAGTAAATTCACAGAAAATTGACTCGTATTTAAAATACTGTGTATTATTTTTAATTTGATAATCTGATAAAACTTGAAATTGTATAAATATGAGTCACAAACCCAACATAAATCACTTCAGTTTCTGAATCTATAGTGAGCACATCATATTTGCTTTAAAAATTTTTATACCATGAGTAATAAACGTAAACATGCTTCATATGATGTTTAGCAAAATCTGGATGTCATTGAAAGAATATGAAACAGTGAAACTCGCATTAAAGTAAGCAGAGAGTTAAGGTTACCTGAGTCATTATTGTAATTTATGCATTATCAAAAAATATTTAAGCCGCGGACTACCTGAGCTGTGGCTAAGCAGTTTGGACTCCGATCACCATGGCTTAATGGCCCTCACTGTAAAAAAATTCTATAATTTTTACCTAATAAAAAAATATTTAAAATTTTTTGGAAATTTATGTCAGAACAATATCTGTTTGGCAGCCACCATTAATTAATGATCATTTTAACAGACTATGCTATGTGGTGCTTGTGGAATGTATCATCAATTATGGCTTATAACCATTTGCTGCAAACTTTTGAATTTTCAAACATTAAAAATTAATATTTGCAAGGTGCAATGGATTAAAACTTTGGACACATATTGGCTCATTTTCAATGTACTTTCACTATGTCCAAGCTCATTAAAATCAGTGGGTAGCCAACCATGTTCTCTCCTTGTGAGTCAAAAATTCAAATATTCTAGTACTACATGCATCTTAGTGTTCAGTCATTTACTACAATGTAGTTGAAATTGCTCTCACAATGTTATGAAAAATCCTTATGAATTGACATCCTTTCAGGAAAGTTTTTACAAGATTATACTCTGTCAAAGTTTTTGTATTCTACATAATTTGTTACTCTATTAAAGCATTTTTTGTTGGATTTGACATACTTTGCATGTTAAACATTCTTAATGGACATTAAAATTAAAATTTGTAGACTGAAGTATATCATTCATTACTATGGCATTTTAGTTTTGAATATTCAAGTCATTTTGGAATTGTTAATTAGGTATATGAATTAGGTCTATTTGTTCAATGACCACTGAAACTTGTTCAGAAAAAAGTGTAAGAAATAAACAGTATCATTGTTTTTACTTTTTCTTTTATTTATATGTTTATTATTAAAAGCTGTAATACTATTAATTTGTCATTAAAAACTATTAGTTCTGCCAATTTATGGTACATCAAGACTTAAATGTCAGTAATGTCTTTTTGGCCTGGTCCCTTGAGAGATGTATAATAGTGCTTGACTATATTTTTGTTTGGTTTACATTTTTATTAAATAAAACTAATAAAAAATTAAATGAAATTACATAATTGTTATTTAATTTTAGGTAATCTTGTTCTGAAAATACCATGGAAAAATTTATATACTGAACCAGTTATTGCTAGTATTGAAGGCTTATTTGTTATTGTATTACCTAATCTTGGTATGTAAAATTTTAAGTTCATTTATATTTATATTGATTATTCTGATGATAAAATAATTTTAGTTTTCAATACAGTTGAACTGTTAGACTTTAAATAATTTTACTAATTTTCAGTACCTGTAGAGAGAATATTATTGTCATAAAGTTGGGATTTCATTTTACTTTATAAAATTTGACTTAATGAGGTTTTACTATGTTAAAAATTACAGTAATATCATTTCATAATACAAAAATATCATTTCATAATATTTTATTTAGATGAATGTTTCATATTGTAATTTTTTGTATTGCACAGTAATACCCCGAACTTATGCGATAGATGGGACCGAGCAATAACTGCGTAAGATGGGGTATAATTTCACAATTTGTGTAAAATCCAAGTCGGATGTATGTAAGCTAATAAATGTTCTCGTTAATTTTATCTCGTCTTTTGATTCATTCACGGTTACAAGAAATCACCACATAGTCTCTCAAGTCTCCGTAGATATAAATAACACAAAATAAATTGTAGCTATGTGTCGATTCCGCGCGACACATCCGAACATGTAAGTCAAACAATAGTGTGGGTGGAGTGAGTAATCGAGAGTTGCATGGTGCTCAAACAAAAGACGAATCGACAAGATTTGAAAATCACGTAACTCCAGGTTTGTGTAAGTCAGGGTAGCGTAAGTCGAGGTATTACTGTAATTTTTTAATAATTGAATTTGATTATTTAAAAGGTATGATTCTGATGATATTAATATATTAATTACTTAGCACTAAGATGATAATACAAATCATATAATCTTTTGTCAATTCTGATTAATATTTTATTTCTCCAAGGTAAAGAGAATTATTAAATTAGTAGCTACATCAAAATTTAGAATTTGACATGCAATGTTATAATATCAAATATTAGAAATATGAAAAAACATCGTGTTTCACTTTACAAAAGTGAATTTTATTATTATTAGCCAGCCTGAATTAATGTATTCAATAAAATGTTGAATCAAATGTATAATTTTAGTGATTTCATTTAGTGCACTAAATTTATTATTTTACTTTTTTATATAAGAGTTTAAATTTAAAAATCAGTATCATATTAAAATGAATTTGAGTACTTCATTATTTTAAAATCAAAAACAAATTTTAGCCACAAAATATAATGAAGAGAAAGAACAGAAAGCTGCTCAAGATTATAAAGAAAAGGAATTGCGTAGAATTGAAGAAATGAAAATTAAAGAAGCAAATAAAGGTTTAAATTTTTGAAATATATAATATGTTTAATAATAATTTCACAAGCTAAGAAGTTGTAATGAAAATTATTTACAGATGAAAAGAAAGATGAAAAAGCAGATACCTTTACTGAAAAACTTGTAACTCAAATAATTAAAAATCTTCAAGTAAAGATTAAAGATATTCATATACGGTATGAAGATCCATATACTGATCCTTCAAAGCCATTTTCAGTTGGTATTACACTTCATAATCTATCATTTGAAACAACTGATGAAAATTGGAAGCCTTGTATACTTCAAGACACAGTAAAATTAATTCACAAGGTAGATTATAAAAGTTTTAATGTAACACTATTTTTATTATATATTATTATAATAAAATATAAAGTAAAAAATCATTATCAACTTTATTATTTGGAATTCTCACAGTCTGTCAAATGTAAAGTAGAGAATGGCCTTGATGTTCTGTAAATATTAAGTTTATTTCATGAACCAGATACATTCAAAGGTTTTTTGCAGGATATGGGCTGTACTCAACAAAGTCACCTTCAGTAATTGAGAAATAGTATTTGGTTGACTACCAAGATACTTGCATGTTTGTTTGGATTTTTTAAGACAGTATCAGGGGTTCCAGCTACTACAGAAATGACTGCTACTGATTTTTCCAGAGTTATTCCAGTTCTATTTTCAAATTCTTGTATAATTAGGTTTTGTTCTGCTGTTTTTTTCTTTGACTCAGCTGCTGTGTAGATAGGTATTGGTCAAAGTGTTTTGGTTCAATCACAGTTATGACTGATGTGTCATGTTCTAATCATCTGTTAGTTTGTATTTGAAAATCTCATAAAATTTAAGCATGTTCATTTTCAACAATTTTATTAGCATTGTGATAATATTAGTTTTTTGCACAGATAGTTGGCCTTTTTGTCTCGATTCCAATGAATCACTTGTAATTTTGTTTGTTTGTAGTCATTCTGTGCAATCTTGCTACAGCTATTGACAAGGTAAGTCACTCTCTCTCTTGATTTTCTATGGGTCCAGAAATCATAAATTTTAAATGAAAAACTTATTATTCCTTCAAGCTGAAAATACTGTACAAAGTGATAATACACTGACCTTCCATTCATTTCCAGCAATTCTGTCAATATAGACTCAAAAGCAAACACTTTTGGCCTCTTCAGGGGCCAGCATCAGGCTTCTATCAAAGATTTTAGTTGAACTTTTGGAATCTGGAATGCTTTTTTGAAAGAAGAATGTTCTGGGAGAAGCTCTGTTCGAATTAACTAAACCATCCATTTTTTTCCCTACGTCACTAACCAGTGTCATTAATATCCAAACATTTAACAAATTTAACACAGCATAATAATTTATCACAGAAACTTATAAATTATGGCTCACAAATAATATTTAATACATTGTTGAACGTAAAACTGTTTGCATATGTATGTTCCTAAAATTTATCTCCACATATAGGATTATTATTAATTATTGTGATGTGTTAAATTTGTTAAGTATTTGGGTGTAAATGGCATTGGTTAATGACGTAGTGGAAAAAAATGGATGGTTTAGTTAATTTGAATTGAGCTTGTTCTAGAACATTGCTCTTTTAAAAAAGCATTCCAGATATCAAAATTTTAGCTAAAGTCTTCAATAGAAGCCTGATGCTGGTCCATGAAAGAGGCCAAAAATGTTTGCTTTGTGCATATATCAATGGCATTGCTGGAAACAAACAAAAGGTCAGTGTATTATCAATCATAAAAAGTTTTTCAACAATGAAGACAAAATTATATTAAACTGCCATAATTTTTGTACTATTTTGTCCACAAAAAAGAGCATAGCCTAGTGTGATATTTTAAACCCATCTTTTGTGGTGCTTAATGTGTTAGAAGGTATTTATTAGAATAACTAGTCACTTTAGCTAGGAGCCTTAAGGCAAGGATGAAGAAACACTAATACACCCTTAAGAAACATCTGTCCAGTGTGGTGCTGGCCTCCTACTCTTTGGATAATGACATGCAAGTGGACTTAGAAAAGGCACATCTTTAAAATACTATGGACCAGCACCAATTAAAATATCTGGAAAGGTCATTTATAAGGCCTTTTAAAAAAGGGACAGCAGTTAACTATAAAGAAACAGACTCAATTTTGTTGGTGGAGTGTTTGAGCTTATCTAACTCTTAATGGTAATTCTATAATAGACATGTGCAAACCTCATGCTTAATTAAACTTTAATTTAAAAATGTTCTATTTTAGTTTTCAAATTACTGTTCTATTTTATATTCTCTAAATCGAACCTGACGATGTCTGTTGTATATGGAAGAAAAAATTTGTTGGAGTAAATGATTTTGTATTTTTTGCTGGTTTTTTGACATGTTTGATGTGCTTTACTTAGTTTTAGCCAATATCTCCATCATTGACTTCAGTATGTGATTTTGTGTCAATAAATGTGATATCTGATTGTTGTGATGTATTGTTTTAAATCTTGGTTGCTTCTTGTTCTCTATTATATGTATTTTCTTAGCACAATGTTGCCATTGAGAACATATCACACAGGAAAACTTTCAGAGGAAAAAGGTTGTCCTGTGTGATATGTTCTCAATGGCAACATTGTGCTAAGAAAATACATGTTTTGTTTGTGATTCTGGCTCAGAGTACGTTTTGTGTGTGTTGTTTTCTATGACTCTCTGAAGTATATATTTTTAGTATTGTTTTTTGGATGTGTATGTGTTTGTATACAAACTTTTAATGCTTCATGTTTGCTATTTGATATAAGTAAAACATAAAAAACTGACAAAGAAACTGGAAATATATACTAAAACAACCACTTCACACCTAAGCGATAATTCCAGCAAACAAACACTAAAAGGTTTAATGTTCAAATATTTTCGGCCGTCTTTCAGAGGCCTTCGTCAGGAAAAACAGCATAGAACAGAAAAACAGCTCTATCTAACAGATTTTCAAATATAGCTGTGTTCTAATTTTTAAAATTTAAACGATGTTGACTACAACAATTGTTCCGTATTACAACATATAATTAAAAATATTTATAAATAAAGTTATAAATAAATACAATAATAATATATATGGTGTTAATATATACAATAATATATGTGTTGTTGGTAATATATTCATTGTTAAAAGTTAGCCCGATGTATAAACAATGTGTGATAGGGAAAAATTGTTTCCTTTAAAAAATCATAGTTATGCTTTGTGGCTTTGTAAATAATACTTCCACGATTGTGGAACCAAAATATAGTCGGCATTGATGCAACCTCCCTTCATGCCCGCTATATAAATTTTAATAGCCTCCAACGAACGTGTCGGTCAAACGCCCTGTGTAAAAGCGTAGCTTTATCCCAACAAGGAGAAACCCTGGGTTCAGTAGCATACTGGGCTAGTGCAGTATTAAACTTCCCCTTGGACACATCATACTTGTGGTCTTGTATTCTAGCCTCTAGAGATTGATATGTGGACCCGATGTATGTTATACGTCTATTGAAGCGACTGTCTTGCAATGGAATGCGGTACACTCCTGGCGCTTTCTTGTCCTCAGACTTGTCTTTTGCATTAGATAATATTCTAAAAATGCTCTGTTTTCTCCTATAAGTTAAGAGCAAGTTTAAATCCTTAGCAATTCTATTATAAATTTGTTGGAGGGACGGTTTGTAAGCTATAACCACCTGCTTGCACTCTGCATCATTAAGCCTCGTGTCAGTGGTAGTTATCGTATTTATAAATATTTTAAATTATATGTTGTAATATGGAACGATTGTTGTAGTCAACATCATTTAAATTTTAAAAATTAGAACAGAGTTATATTCGAAAATCTGTTAGATAGAGCTGTTTTTCTGTTCTACACAATTTTTCCTGACGAAAGCCTCTGAAAGACGGCCGAAAACGTTTGAACATTAAACCTTTTAGTGTTTGTTTGGTGGAATTATCGCTTAGGTGTGAAGTGGTTGTTTTGATGTAAGTAATCAGTTTGTGCTAAAAGCTTGCATCCCAATGTAATGAGTTGTATCATCTTATGCCATGAAGTGGCATTTCCTGTGTTATCTGTGAATGTTGTCTGGTGGATCTAGTCTTGTATGGCATGATTTCTTCCCTCTCGCCAAAGGAGCACCCATAAGTCATCAGCAATTTCATGCAGTTCTGCCAAAATGATGTTAGCTGAGATGATCAGAATGCCTACCATTAAGATCAAGATTGCTTGATGGTGTTTGTGCATTTTGTGTAATGTTGGATCCAGATCAGTGTTGTGTAGGTTTAAAGATATGCTGTAGCTAACTGTATTTATCTGTAAGAATAACAGCTTAGTGTAATTGTGATGATTCTTGTTTTTAGTAGAAAAACTCTTGCAGTGTCTGTATTTGTCTGTAGTAAAGATTTAAAGCATTTGTGAAGCTTTGTCCTTTTTCAAGGAAAAGTCAACATGTCTATGATTGATTTATGATGGTTATTGTTATGTTTTGTTAATGAGAACATATAAACATTAAAATATTTAATGTTGTTTATATTGATTTCTCACATTGTTGTTACTGTTATTGTTTTGGCTATATTTAAAAATTCAAGTTGATTTTTTTTTTCTTCAAGGTGTGATTTTTGAAGGTGAGGGAAATAGTTCTCAAAAATATTTAGTAAAAACATGAACATACAAGTCTTTCATCATGCAAGAATATTAAGTCTTTATTGTTTTTGATTAAGTTCATGTAGGGTTGGATTAAGACTTTCAGAGGCTCTAAACACTTAAAAAGATTTTGGTGTCCCCATATGCTGTATATGTAATAAAAATTTAAATAATTAAACATAAAATACATTTTTGATATATTTACAAATTAAAAAGATGCAAGTCTTATACACCAGCAAATACTTTAATTTTTTTCATTTATTGTATGGTTCCCTTTTTCTGGATTTTGGTTCAGCTGCACCATTTGAGTTTTGCATTATATGGTTCATAGTAAATCAGGCAATAAAAAATTTCTGTGGTGTTCCCCTTTCTGAGCATATGCTTAATTTGTCTATGGTTAATCCAGCCATGAGTTCATGTGAAAAAAGCAAGTTTTGAAAGTTAAATTCTTACTAATAATGCATATTTTTACAAAGTAACTAGAAAATTATCAAAACTAAAAATTAATGTTTTATTTATATTATAAAACTTTATTGAACTCTCCATATATTGTATTTGATATTAGATTAATAAATTTTCTTAGCTTTCAATAAAATATTGAAATAAAATTTAGAAGATACTTATTTAGTGGTAAATGATAACAATATTTTTAGTTAATCTGAATTTGATTCAATTACAGAAATTAAGTATTTGCTAATTAGAATTTTAAAAAGTTAAGTTATGTTGTTTTCCAGTTAGTTATATTGGACAGTTTTGCAGTATATTGGAATAGTGGTACATCAATGATAAGTAACATGAATGCAGAGGATGCTAAGGTAATTTTATTAAATTAATAATTTCAATTCTTAATAAAAATGAGAGAAAATTTGAATATGTTTGCAATTCATTGTATAATATACACAAAGCAACATTATTATGAAATAATTATTATTATATTTATAAATCTAAATCATAATTAATTTATAAGACAAAATAAAATGATATTTGCTAAAAATGCTGAAAAAATAATTGAAAAATAACAAAAACGTTGAAGTTTTATATATTATTTCATCATTATAATAGATTAAAAAAAGTATTATTGAAATAATGAAATAATTTTAAAATATTTTCTGCTAAATTAAAACCCACCTATCTTGTTAGTTATGAGAATACTAAATTAATTTATTATGCAAAATATCATGTAGATGTTAACTATTCTATCAGAAAATTTAGTATTTAATTTATTGTTTTAGCTGAAATTTAAGAGTAAATCTTAATCATAAAGTAAAATGTATTAAAATTTGAAACCAAAATATTTAAAATATTTTTGTTAAATTTAATAAATATTTAACCATTTTTATTATGTTGATTATTGTATCTTCTAACATAATTAAATATACTATAAACATTAATATAGAAAAAAATTCTACAATTTAATCAAAATTGACAGAGTATTTATAACAATCATTTAAAACTGTCTTCTTCAGGCAATATGGAGACTAAAGGACAGTTATAAACTGTCAAAAGTACTTGTGCATTAAAATATTTTTCTGTAACAATCATTTAATTAAGAAAGAATTTGGATAAAACTGTGTAGCTAAAAATAAGTATAGTACATTTATAATAAAGAAATTATTAAAATTATAAACACATAATAATCCAAAAATTTTGTGTTGGAATATATTAGAATAAATGTAAATTTCTAATATGTCACTTTCAACAGATTAAAATCTAAGATATAATTCATTACAGATAACCCTCAATATATGTAGCTTCCATTAATGTGAGTTTTGGTTAATGCAGTTCTGTTCTGAGGGAAAGTCAATGTTGTCAACTCAACAGAACTCAAAACTGACAATGCTGAGCCATTTCCTTATCCCTACTTTTCACCATTACATAGTAGGAAAAAGTGAACATTAGTTATTCATAGTGTAGTACTATAATACAGGGTGTTTATAAATGAATGGTGCAGTTTTAAAAATTGATAATAAATCTATTTATTACTTTATATAGGCAAACCTCACAGCATAAGCAGCAGCAACTGTCCAAGTTTATGTACCATCAATGCCCATGTCCCTTGAGGATGCACTGCAGACCATCATGGAGGACATGCTACATCACATATGGGAAGAATTTGATTACCATGTAGATGTGTGTCATGTGACCATGGGTGAACATATTGAAGGATTGTGATTAATGCATAAAAATCTTGGATAGTTGCTGCTGCTTATGCTGTAAGGTTTGCCCATATAAGGTAATAAATAGATTTATTATTAATTTTTAAAACTGCACCATTAATTTATAAACACCCTGTACTAGTATCAAATTATTTGGTAATTCATTAATATTGTGAGAATGCGAGAGTGGAGAGCAATTTATTTGAAAAATGTTACACTGAGTTATTAATCAGGTGAGAAGGTCTATGACTGATAAATAAAATGAATGTAATATTTTAGCGATAAAATAGACAAAAGTCATAGTTTTGTTGTGGGAAAGGGAAGTAGAACTTTCCTTAGAAAATCTTAGCGCAATTATCTGGTGAACATCTGTCTCTTGCATCAGATGTATGTCCTGTCAGAAGATCAAAATACTAAAATCTAATGGGCGGAAACAGAATAAAAAAGAGAACAATTCATGAGTTCGGGGCAGTCCCTGAAAGTTAGATTCTGCCGTAGAGCTGGCAGTCCATGACGAAAGGAACTTGCCACAGAAACCGCAGTCCATGACCAGAAGGAATTTGCCATAATAATTAGAAGAAGAAGATAGTCCCTCTCTGACTCTCCTTCATTTATCTTGCATTCTCCAAGTTTGATTGACAGAGATATTATCATTATTTTTAACTGATTGTAAACTCTCTCTCTCGCGCTTAGAGGTGTATTCTAAATAGACTTGATTTACGATAGGTTATATTGTTTATCTTGATTTATGCATCTCTTTATTTTATTTTATGTAATTAAACCTTTCGTTATTTGTTAACCTGTTTGATCTCCTTGTTGAGTATGGACATTCACCCCGCTATGATCGAAACTTGCTCACGACTCCTCCCCGCTCGATAGAATATAGCCCTCTGTTTAACATCTAGATCGTAACATTGCAAGTTAGGGTGCATAACTTTCACCCTAGATGGTGTCAGTCCTGACATCAGAAGGATTGAGAGATCTGGATGACATTCTATGTTTTAAGCCATCCTTCGATGAGGTGAGCAGGCCTTAACATCCCGATGATTAAAGGAGTTATGAGTAATGACGTAACCCCTTTAATCAAGTATAACCCCAATATTTGCAAATATACCATACATATATGGTATATTTGCAGAACCAATTAACTGCATAATATTGAGGGTTATGTGTATTTTATTTTACCAAACTTATATAAATTGATATAAATTGTCTACCTATTATTTCAGATACAAATGAAACATGAAATAGCTACTTCTACTACCAAACCTAGTATATCATATAGTAAGTATTTTCAAAAATAGTAGTATAGTAAATTTTTTTATAAATATGGAAAAATATATTGAATAAAATTGAATTAAAAGTTAAATTTAGTATGAAACTAATAAAGTTGAGTTATAAGGTACATAATATTTTTTGTTTACACTTGAGGCCTTATTGTATTCATTATAAATAATAATCATTTTATTTTATCACTTTATATTATAGTTAATGTAATATAAAGTTTTTACTTACAATTCATGCCAAAACATCAAAAATAGCACATTAAATAGACTGTCTTTCAATGAAGAAGTACAGTAGATCCCCCTATAAGACGGTAGATACGTTCCGTTCTTTATGAATCAATTTTGTAGGAATCATAGTTTACGGACTACGGCTGTTTGAAAGGTTTTCTTTCATAAAATTAATCGATTCTAGACTAATTCGACTCAACATTTCCAAAATACGTATATTTTTTTGAAAATAATCCGTATAAACTACGTTATAAACAAAAAATTGTAGGATTGCTTACCGAGTGTGTACCGTTCGACTACGCCCGTTGCTAAAGCTTGGTTTCGTCGCGGAACAGCGCATCAAACCGCGGCCGCGATTTCTGATATTATTTTTCTGCGAAAACTTCGTTGACCTTTGGAGACATCCTTAATATAAATAATTTTTATGGCCGTTAAATAAGAAATGTTTCTTTCACAAGAAATGTATAAAATTACAGTACTGGACAGACGATAGGTCGCCTAACTCGCCGTAGCGTGACGCTAGACGGCGAAAAATATATATTTAATTATAATAAAGTTACAATAAATTAAGTTAATATATAATTATATATACAGTACCTAATTTATATATAATTAATATATAATTATATGTACAGTACCTAATTTATATATAATTATATGAACAGACGATACTAAACTCAATTTATCCGCCTAAACGTCCGTAGCGTGGCGCTACGGACGGCGGGAAAGTAGTTCGGCTGCCCGATGACGTTTTACGTATTATAGGAGTTATTTTTACCGTTGTTTACGGATACTGCCACAATTTTTATAGGAATCATAACTATAGGAAACGGTTTTATAGGGGGATCTACTGTATACATATTCCAATATATACAAAGGTTTCTTGCCTGACAAAGATGATAATACATTATCAAAAGTATTTGTATGTATATTTTGTTTATAAAAACTATTAATACCAAAAGATAGTCTATTTAATATGTTGTTATTAATTTGTAAGTTGTTGTTATTTAATAACATCAATTTAAACTTAAAATCATTTTACAACTGTCATTACTGTTTGTTATTTGGACTATTTTTGGTAATAGATCTTGTTTCTTTCTTCATTTCTTTTTCATTTTTAACTAAGAGGAAAGATTTATGGAATTTCTTTTTATTCTTTTATTTCTTCTTTCTTCCTTTTATGAATTTGATTTTTACGACTCTCTTTTGCTATCTTCAGGAAAACTGCTGTTGGGCAATTTGTTTCTCATTTCATCTAAAATTTTTTTTTTAATAAATAAACAACTAGAAAAAATATTCTGAGAAAGGCTTTAAATTCTGTCAAAATTTAAAGATTTAGATAGATTTGTTTAAAAGCTTTAAAATCTAAAATTGAATGTTTTCAAATGTTGAACTTTTATCCATAACAAAACATAAAAGAACTAAAAAAAAAAAAAGATCAAGCAAACAAATTTGGGCCAGTTTAAATCTTTATTCTCTTTCAAATTCCATCCAGAGAGAGATGACTTGAACATAAAATACAGTTCTTTGTTAAAAGTGATCAATGATATGACATTAAAAATACATACTTAATACATTTCACACCAATTTTTCCTTTTATGATCTGATGCCAATGACAAATGGTACTTAAATAAAAGAACATTATATTTTAAATTATTTAAAAAGTGCAAAATACAAAATATTTGTTGCAAATTTAATATTAACCTCCAATTCTTGATGAACAAAAATCACACTAGAATTTATTTGATTTATCTAGAATCAAAGCTCTGTTCATCTTCAAGAATTCATATTCATTCAGGATATGAACCCATGATGGTGATGTGAAAGTTCTATCTCTTTCTTTTCTCTCTCTTTCTTTTTTTATAGTAGATTAATTTTTGATAAAAAGCACAAGTGATCATAACTATTGAATTTCTTCCCTGATGACCTAACACTTTAATTTTGTCTTTGGAACATCATTGTTTTTAGCTTGTTTGATACTTTGCAAAGATCTTTTGTTTTCACAAATAAATATTATCAATATTGTATAATTCAAAAGAAAAACTAACTAAAATTTTTTTATAAAATACGAAGTTGATTATTCATAATGCATACTGATATTAAACACAATACAGCACATTTAGTATGCAGATAGTAAATACTAACTGGATATTGATTTGAGTGATGTTAAAGTATTGTAAAAAAACTGAGACAGTATCCACTGGTGTAGTTTAATGGCCATTAACACAAATTGCAGAATGGAAGTTTAAGATAGAAACATAAGATATGATTAAATTATTTTAATCTGTTACGTCATTACTTTAATTAATCTTTCTGCAAATAAATGAATTTTGGATTTATCAACATGGGAAACATTGAAAACACAGAATTGCAAATAGGCAAAATGTACATATAAAAAATGTATAATTTAAATTTATTTGTATAATAATTGTATAATAGTACATTCTGATATAACTGTTTTACATTGGTGGTCTTGGTGGTGGTTCTATTTCTTTTTTGGTTTGGGAAAAGTCTGCAAAGAAAAGTTTTTTGTGATTGAATAAAAACTGTGTTTTATCAGTTTTCTTGAGTATGGAGGTACAGTTTGAAACTGACTTGAACTTTGATATGTTGTTGAATTCTCACTCAGAATATTTATCAGTAATATTAAGGAAGAATAGAGTGAGGATAAAAAGTTTGCTGATAAGTTTTAAAAATGTTTTAATTATATTTACATTTGTAAAGTTGTAAGTAAATTGGTTTCATAAGTCTTGTGTCGACTATTGAATTACAGAATAAAAATTTGTTTTCTGAACATAAAAAATTTTTTGACAACATACACTTTTTTATATTGATGTTAATTATACAATGATTTTTCTTATAACAACTAACTTTTGTTTCAAGGTTTCTAGTAAAAGATAAAGAAACATTACAAAGTTCAAGGAGTCAAAATGTTGTATATTTTGATTGAATGAGTTTAATTACTCAACCTGATGAAGTGAGACTATATCATTAGGTTGAACAATTAAAATAAATGGGTTCAAAAGTTAAATGTGTTCAAAAATTGACAAGCTCACAACAAAAGGTGCAAACTGGCCACACAATTTGTAAGGGTGTAAGGGTGATTTGGTCACCATCAAAAGGACTCAATTAGGACCAAGATGAAAGGTGACACCAAAATTTGTGGGACCCTATGAAGTATCAAAGGTCAAAGGCAATGAGAGATACAAAATTGTAAAGGTTGGGAAAGGAGAGGGTCCTGGATGGACATCATTGGCCATCAATTTTATGAAGCCATATCCCTCAGGATGAGGTCCTGTCAAGAATAGCCGAATGTGAGACAAGGATTTTTTAAAAAGCGGAGATCTGCAGGAGGGCACATAGGCAGATGAGAGCAGGAAAAAGGAATGCAAGGAAGAAAAGTCATAGTGAAGGAAAGAAGATGCAAGGAAGAAAAGCATTTGAAAGTTGTCCATCTTTTACTGTCTACTTCTTTTGTTATATTGTTTTGATCCCTAGTATATAATATATAGGTCTTGCTTTATTAATGTACTTCCAAATTAAATAAAGTTTTTGATTGATATTAATAAAAGTGATGTGTAAATGCATGTCTGAAATTAGGTCAAATCTGATATAAATTTTTTTTTGCGATTAAGTTATATACTTCATTTGTAAAAAATATAATTTTAGAGAATGTAACAGAAACCAATGTGAATATTGTATTTCATTATAGAAACTTTTGTCATGTTTGTTTAAAGGTATAGGGCTGAAAGTGGGTGGACAGAGGAGGGATAAAAGAGAGATTTAACATCTGGAAGTGATTCACTTGCTAACAAAATGATAAAATAATAAGATATATTTTAAACAAATTTATAATCTAAGCTATATTAATGCTCATGGGAACAACAAAGAAAACTGGATAAACAAAAAAATCTATTCATGCCTAACCTATGCAAGAGAGAGAGTTTACAATTAACTCATGGGTTAATAGTTACCCCATGATGAAAAAGTCCCTCAAAGTTTGTTTTGCCTTTGGACTGTTCTTTAGAAAAGTTCTTGTATAATCAAAGTTTTCCTTGTTCTTGTGTCAATACAAAAATGATTGGATTCTTGTCAGAAAGACAGCAGGAAGAGAGATGGCAATGAGCAAACTTGGAAAACAGGCTTGGTGATGGATGACCTCCTTGACCTTTTCTCTTTTTTTATATTATCCCTTCTTGTCCCCAAAACAGGATACAGTATATCCAAAAATGATAAAATCATACGGTCTATATAACAGTAGCCAATTCCTGACTTTTCTTTTCCTACTTTCTTGGGTGAGTAACCATTCCAGGAAGAGGTATCATTGGCATAATCTTTCTAATTTCCTCATTGAATCTCTAAATTTTGTGCTTTTGTTAAGCTTTTTATTTAATTTATTTATTCAATTTTATAAAATAATAGCCTGGGATCTTTGTGACCTTAGTGTGTTATTACCCAAAAAAGGAAAAATAGTTGTCCTGATGATGACACTTCAATCCACAAATCAAGAAAAGAAGCTAAAGATCATTTCAAATTACAATGTGTCAAAATCTGTTACAGACTCAATGAATCATAAGACAAGGTGCTATATCATGAAACAGATGACCAGAAAATGAACAGTCGCTCTATTCCACAATATAATAGTTTTGAACACATTCATTGTTTGGATTGGTCTAAACCTGGAGTGAAATAAGCAGAAGAGTTATTGCTGATGAATTTTCCATCTTGAACTGAAATAATCTCTTGTGAAAAAAGAGTGCAGAGAAATGTGAACAGATTCCTGGCAAATTCAGAGACCTGTGACACAAACAAGGAAGTTGCAGTTTCTTCAACAGGAAAAAAAATATGAAAATGAGCCTAAAATGTGTAAAATGTGATGATCTTATTTGCAAAGAGCATTCTATAGTGATTTGTAATGGTTATGCAAGCTAAGAAAGAATAAGGAAAAAATAAAAGTTTAATCTGTTCCAAAAACAGACTACTTTTTGAGTTTTGATCATATACAACTAACTTTACTGATTATAAAATTCCCGTATGATGTCATTTTAATGATATCACTGCATCATTTCCAGCATTTTTATTTGTCAGAGCATGTGTTACAATGACAAAACACCATTACATGATTTTAAAATAAAATCTACAACTAAATATAGAAAAAACTACTTGGTCAATCTGATTCTAATTGTACTGGATGTGAGCGCTTTCTTTTTCTTGGTAATCTGAGGGTTAATACAATTATTTTAATTACTGTGTATTATAATAATTTCAAAATAATTTTTAAGACTGAAGATAACTATTTCTGAATAGCTAAATTGCATATTTTTAAATTTGACTATTATTAAAAGTGGAATGAAGAATTGCCATATAATGAATTAATTTACCATTCATAATGAGATATGATAAGAATAAATAATTTATACAATTCTACAAACTTTTTCTCAAGTTGATTAATTCATACTGAATTTTATAAATTTTGTACATTCTTACAAATTAGTAAAATAATTATCTTGAAACAGCAATACAAAATTCATAAAAATAAATTTTATGTAATCACACACATGCCTGTACACTATGTAATTCAAAGTATACCAACAACTGTATATGTGAATATGTGGGTATACTTTGAATTGCTCTCTGCACTGTAAACTTTAAGTTTGTCAAAAGTCTTTAAACTTCATATTTTGTACTATGTGCCATTTAAACAAAGTCAAAAATAAAACATGAACATTTATGGATTAGAAATTTACATAAATATCATAAATACAAGTTCTTATATGTCAATTTGTTATAAGGATAATATTTTCTTTTAATTATTTTTTCAAAGATGTAAACTTATGTTTTCTTCATATACACGTAATCCTCATTAGTTTAAAATTCAAGGGATGAAATAATGGTAACTTTGAATTATCAAGTTCTGAATTAACTGAGATTTACATATTTCTGTAAAATATGCCAAATACTGTAACTGATGTAATGATGTAAAAAAGTGTAACTTATATAATTTATTAAGCAAACGGAATATGGAAACATATACAGAATGTTATTTTTGTTAATTAATAATAATAATATAAATAAACTGCAGATAAACAGCACATGTTCAGTGAGAACCTAACAGGTTGCTAGATAGGTTTTATAAAAAGTAAAGCAGAATTCCTTGAATTGTAACCCAAATTATTTTTAGTGACCCAAAAAGTAGTAAGTTGCCCAAATGTAGTAACCTGGAGCCTACAAATATCTCAATCTTCTACTTGTAGCCCAATCTTGCAATTTTGAAAAGTAGCCATTTTTATGAGATAAGAGAAAAAACAGATAGTTCATGTTTAAGGCGACAGATGAAAATGTGTCAATGTAAAAACAAAGCCATATTGACTGGATTAGAGTTGTTGTTTGTCTATTGTTCTCTTATAGCATGGACACACTTCAATGTAAATGAATGAGTAAATGTATGCATATTAGTTCAGAGAGAATTTTCACTTCAAATTTCAAAGTAGCTATATTTCGAACTAACTGAATTCCTTAACATGTAAATATCTATTCACAGTTAGGACAAATAGTACAGTTATGAACTAATGGGATTTCAAACTATCTGAATTTGAATTAACAAGGATTTCCTGTATTATAATGAAATGTGTTGAAATTAAAACTGTAATATATGTTAATTTTTTTGGTTAGAAACTAAATTATTAATTACCTGAACAATCAAATATACAAGTATCATTCATAATTTCGAATATATCAATAATTTTTTAAATGATCTGAATTACTGTTTTGATTTTCAACACAAACATGTTTGTTACTATCTAGTTTTTTCTTTTTATTTAAAAACCTGACTTTAAAAACTAAACTTTTTGTTTACAGTACTTGGGCCAATAAATGCTACTGCAAGATTAATACTTAATTCTAAGCCAGAAACTGATGGTTCTGGATATAAAATTCCTAAAGTCAATTTAGATGTGGTAATGGAAGAAATTGCTTTAAGAATTAATGAAACCCAGGTATAACTTTTAATAATGTCCATTTAAAATAATTGTTAATAAACTTAGTTTTAAGTTAGTAAGTAGTAAACTTAATATTAAAAACATGTCTAAGTTTTAATATGATAGATAATAAAAAGTAGTAATAGAATTTTGCTATTTTTGATACTTAATCTTATAATCCTTACAGATAGTTAAAATCATCTTAACAATGCAATTAGTACATTACATTGAATATTTTAACTAGTGATGGGATATTATTAATTGAAATTGGAAAAGTTGGACATTTTCTGGGAATTGGAATTGAGCAAATCTCATTATGATTTCTGATTTTTAAAAACAATTCTTCTACATTCATTAAGAAAATTAATTATTTGTTTCTGTCAAAGATTTAAAATTTTTTAATTGTGATATTAACAATTGAGTATTAGTTTATTGGAAGCTTCCATGTCAACAAAGCAGAGTACACAACACCCCATACAAAGGTGATGTCTATCATTGGTTGACTTTTCTTTCATGTAGTTGGAGAGATGAGACTTTCTTTAACTGTCCCAATTTTAGTGAAGATAAAGTGACTTCAGGGATGCCATCTGGCTGGCATTGGGCCGGCTTGACGGCAATCTGTATATATATTAAAGCAAAATGTTCTATCTCACCATTGCACACAAATATTGTAAATTTAAAAATTAATTTCATTTATGATTTGAAAATTTCAAAATAGTTTTTAAATTATTTTAATTTTTAATTGATTCAAATTTAATTTTGATTAATTTGATTTTATTCTTAGTTTTAATTTTGGTGTAAAGGCCAGAGTTTTAATTATTATTTTTAATAATTTTTATTTATTTAATTTTGCCTGCATGTTTTTGAATCCTTAATTACAGTTTTTAAATTACTTGCAACTCTCTTTGTTTGCAACCGAACTATAGAAATTGTGTTGTTTCACACAGAAAATAAATTTAAATTTATTTTAACTTTTTAGTAATTTCATAAATTTTTGTTTCATAAATTTACCTGCTTTTTAAAAATTTTAATTATAACATTGATTGAACTATTGGGCTATCCAATTTCAAATCAAGGCTGGCGGTCAGCAAAATTATATAATTGTCAGAATATTGACCACTTTGGCAACCCCTGCTCTAATTATTAAAATAATCAGTAATAATTGGTTTATAACAGTAAACTATTGGACTGAATTTAAATTTGAAAAAATTACATTATAAAAATTTATGTATAGCCACAATGATGACCAAATTAAACAAAAATCAAATACAATTTACAAAATTATAGAAATATAGTGGAAGGCATAAGAAAAGTTTTCAGATGTAAGATGTTTCACATTTTTTTGCTGCTTTTGAATAAATGTGAGATTAATTTATTAAATATAATATCCTGGTCAGTCTTGATCTAAAATGTCTATTGTACACGATGATGATAAAAACTTTAAAAATATATATATTTTATCGACTCAAAAAGTTTTTGATATGAAGTATATTATATTTTTTAAATAAAAATTTATATTTGAAGAGTTGTATGAATTAATCATAATTTATTAGAATATGTTTTTGGTATTATTTAATTTTTACTAAATCAAATTATGATGTGATTTAATCATGAAGGATATTGAAATACCAAATAGCTGAATTTGTTTATTTATAATTATTATGTTCTATATTTTTCAGTATCAAGATATAATGAAATTACTTCAATCCTTAGATCGCATGGCACGTGCTTCTTTATATAGGAAATATCACCCAAGTGTTCCATTAAAAGGAAATTCTTCAGTTTGGTATGAAAATTTTAACAGATTTTCTGTTTAATTAAAAAAAGTGTTTCAAACTTTTATGGGTTTTCATTTTTTTTTTTTAAATAGGTGGAAATTTGCTTTACAGTGTATACTTGAAGAAGATATTCGTCGTAGGAAACGTGATTGGTCTTGGGACCATATGAGAAACCACCGGCATCTTTGTCGAGATTATAAAGAAATATATAAGCAAAAAATTTTAAGACAGAAAATGTCAAAAAATGCCCAAGAAACTATGCAAGTAAATATAATAAAAAGAGATTTTACATTTTTATTAGTAATTGTTTTCTAAATTAACAATAAGTATTTATAAATATTGGTGACTACAGTAAGCATAATTAGTTGTATGATTCACAGCAATGTTATCAGAAATAGTATACAGTTGACCCCTCTATAACGCGGGTTCATATAATGCGGATTCGTATATCGCGGCGAAAAAATTGCGACCGTATTCATATAAAAACGCTAAGAGAGACTTGTAAAATGCGGTAAAATGTCATTGCCAACTCATGTCGCAACAGAATTGGTCCAATCTGGACCAATAGTAGACGAGCAGCTGAACTACTTACACGCTACAGAGAGTTTAGGCGGATAAGTTGAGTTTACTATCGTCTGTACAGTATATAAATTAGGTACTGTAAGTCTAATACAGTACTGTAATTTTATACATTTCTTGTGAAAAAAAACATTTCTTATTCAACGGCCATAAAAATTATTTCTATTAATGGTGTCTCCAAAGTTCAACAAATTTTTCGCAGAAAAATAACTTATCAGAAAACACGCCCGCCGTTTGGTGCACTGCTCTGCGATGAAAACAAGCTTAAGCAATGGTGACGTCGAACGGTGCACACTCGGTAAGTAATCCTACAATTTTGTTGTTTATAGCATAGTTTATACGGATTATTCCCAAAAAATTATACGTGTTTTGGAAATGTTGAGTCAAATTAGTCTAGGATCGATTAATTTTATGGAAGAAAGCCTTTCAAACAGCTGTAGTCCGTAAACTCCACACGTGCCGGGCTGTGATTGGCTCATGTATTTAAGGATTCCTACAACGTGAAATTCTTATAAAGTGGAACGTATCTACCGCATTATAGGGGGATTGACTGTATTCCAATTTTGAAATATACTACTTCTGATAACATTGCTGTGAATCATAACAAAACATAAACAAAATTAACCAAAATATACTATAATACTTTGCATATTATAATTATCAATTTACCTTTGGGTAAATTCACTGCAAATGTAAGAAAAGAAATTAAAATGGTTAAAGGAGTCAGGATATTTAATCGGATTAATTGCTTTTTGAGATTTTCAATCTCATCTTTAGATCAACAACATTGACAATTTGAATTGGACTACTGTTCATACAAAACAAATTACAAATTTGAACATTTTAAAAAAATATATTAATAAATATTTTTAAATTATAAACATAAAAATAATAAAATATTATCTGTATAAACTAAAAAATGAAAAGAAATAAAAAACAAAATACAGATAAAGCTAAAATAAAAGATAGATAAGGTAATATAACAACAAAAATGGAAAAAAATAAAACAATAAATAAAAACATACATACAACTAAATTTGTGCAGTCTGCTTAAACAATTGTATATACGTTTTTATATACTGTTTATTTTTTCAATTTTTGTTGTTATATTATCTTATCCACCTTTTATTTTAGTTTATCTGTATTTTGTTTTTTATTTCTTTTTCTTTCTTTCTTACTTTATGCACACTGTATTATCTATTCATAAAGTAAAATCTATCAATCTAAATCAATCTATGTAAATTTTAATTTTGACTTGTTGGATGATGTGATATATTTTGATGAATGTATTCATACAGTTTCAATGTTTGACTTTTTTAGATTAAAATTAAAAACTAGTCTAAATATATACAGTATATTTTAGTTCTTTGATTATATACCTGAGTATCATGACAAAAAACAAATTAAATATTTGTAATAATATCAATATAATTAAATATATTTTTGCATTTTAGTATTTTGGTAGAATCTTAATTTTGTCTACTTGGTTGATTTTAGACGATCTGAAATTTTATATTCATAACTATTTTAATAAGAATTTTAAAAATAAACTTAACAAATTTTTTGCTTTATAATAGAATAATTTTTTCTAATATATATTTAGTATTCAATATATACATTAAATAGTAAATCATTTTGTTTACAAAGACTATTATGAGCTATTTTAAGTGTATAAAATTTCATTATTAAGCAAAAATTTTTTTATTGTAGAATGCTGAGAAACAATTGGATCTTTTTAATATAACCCTAATTAGAAAACAAGCAGAGCTAGAGGTAAGATACAAAAACTTCAGTTTTTACAAATGATTAAAATTTAAGAATATTTTAATGATTTCTAAAAATAATAGATATTCTTGTTCTTTAAATAATAATATAGTTATATATACTGTTTAACTTTGTGAATCATTATTTAATATTTACTTAATTTTTAAAGTCCTACAGTTTTTTGAGATCTTTATAATATTAAAAATAAAAATAACATGGCATGTTTAGTTCCTTTTTGTTATTGTAACTTTTTTAAAATTGTTTGATTTGTTGATACAAGGTACTAGGGTACTATGTTTTATATGATGTCTTTTAAATGAAATCAGAAATTATTTCTAATATTTTAAATGATTTCAAACTAAAACTGTTTTATTATGTGACATACAAGATTAACAAATGGGGTATTAAATCATTGGAAGTTACGACACATTTTATTTATATAAAAAATATAGAATTTTAAAAGCTGCACTTAAAAGAACTATTTTTGAATTAAAATTCAAAAATAATATGTAATGTATATTTTTTTAATTAAAAAAAAGAATCTTGTATAAACATCCATTAACATGTATCAGGCCCGATATAATCTAGCAGATCATTTGGTCTTAAAACCAAATTTTAAGATTATAGTATAGTCATAAGTATGATTATATAATTCATGTTAATATTATACTTTTTATGATATAAAACAGTTTAACAGTTTAATAATAATATTCTTTACAATTTTTATTTAAAAACGACTTAGTGTATTATTTAACAAGTTGCATATTGGAACATGAAAAAACGAATATATTATTAAAAGTATATAATTCTATCATTCTTCTTGTAAAAATTCAAAAATTTGAATGTCTGCACAATTGATGGAAGTATTGCTTTTTTGTTAGATTAGGAATATACTTTTTTTCATTTTAGCATTTTCAATTAGAAGTTAGGATTTATAGTTAAGTTTGTAATCTTACAAAAACAAGCTTTTTCAAGAAAATTTAAGCACAACAAAAATACTTTAAGAATTAGCTATAAGTTTGATTTTTAGAATTATTTGGCAGACAAAATCTCACATAGTTTAGTTATTTACATTATTAAGACTAAACTGAATGGTAGCATTTGGGATATTGTTACACACACACACACACATATATATATATATATATAGACCAGAGCCTTATTCCTGGAATTTAGGGAATACTCTTACAAGATGAAAGGCTTCAAAAAGAACTATACTACTTTGGAGCCACAGGGAAGTCATTAAAAGAAAAGGTAAAAGAGCATAAAAGTAACATGGAATGAGTAGCCAGTCACTGCACTAGCAACTTATATTATATCAGCCCCACAGAAGTTATAGTGAAATGGGAATGGGCAGAAATAATCCAAAATATTCGTGACAAGCAACACATTAAGTATGCAGAAGCATGGCACATACACAAGACAAACCAAGCAAGACAAGCGATAAACTTTAGAGAATAGTATAAAGTTTCAGTGGCATGGAGGGTGTGCTTAATATGAATACATTAGTAAGAAAAAATTCACTGACAGTAAAAGTAATAGGAACATTTTTGCCTTGTATGTTATTATTTGCGTTATTTTTATTTTATTTGTATTTTTGTATATTATGTTATCCCATGTATTGTAATTATCTATTCGTGTATTGATACTGGACATGCACATTAGATGTAAAAGTAATTTTAAAATGTTTCAAAATAGGTTTCATTCTTTATAAATCGGAATTTTTCTATTATTATTTTATTGTTTTTTTTTTTTTTGAAGAAGGTCAATCAACTGACTGAAAGTGTTAGAAGATTTAGTAAAAAGACTGCATGTTAAAAGGTTTTTTGTGGTTTATTGATTTTTAAGTGCAGGTAGAGAGGAGTATATGTACATTATTAAAATTAATCTGAATAGTTATTTGGCATGAAATACATTTAATCTTTGAAAAGGGTCTTATTGCACAAATATGTTAACTCAAATATTAAAAGTATACCATAAGCAAACTTTTTGGCTGTTTTCATCTTCATATCTAGATTACAAATCTTTAACATCAAAACTGAATTGACAGAGTTTGATAGGAAGTATGGTTTCTTCAGTTTGAAGAATCAAGTAGAATGCTAGCTGGAAAAATTTGTGTAAATTGTCTTTTTAGTTTAAACAAATTTTTATTTTTTGTTTAAAATGTCCTATTTTGTAGCTATTTGAAAATAGAGAAAATTGGCCTCTAAAATTGTTAATATTAAAAGTAGTTTGACTCCTTGGAAAAGACTTAATTTTTTATACTAATTTCAAAATGTTACACATCTGTTTAAAGAAATTGTATATTAAATCTAAAATATAATATTTTATTATCAAATAACTATTAAAATTTAATTTTTATTTAAGAAAATACAATAATTTATCTTACTATATTTAATCATATAAAGTGAAATGCTTTATTGCAGGCTTAAAATGTTGATTCATTTGTCATTTAGAAATTAATATTATGCATTATTAGTATATGCTGCAATATCAAAACCTTTCCATAAATAAGCATTAAATAAAAGATTAAACATTTGATATTCATTGTTAAATTCAAAAATTAACTATTTACTGGCCAGAATTCAATAATTCTAATAAATATAAATTTTGTTTTTGAATTTTACAAGGTATTTATTTAGAATTTTTTATTCTTAAAGTAAAATCGTCAATGTAAAATCACATTATTATTTGATTGTTTTTTTTTATATTATTTGTGGGGAGTCTGATAGTAAAGGTACAGGCCAAAATTACACTAACATTTATAATGAAAGAAAATATTTAGTTTATTACATAAAAACTACATACTTATGTTTAAATTGTTCGAGACTGCATACTGTAATATCAAAACACTTACTAAACACCTTTTCATGCAAGAAAAGGTGTTTAGTAAGTGTTTTGATACTTACGTTTATTTGTTGACATAATCGCCATAAATGTTGAGACATTTATCCCGACTTGACACTACTTTAAACATTCCTTCATGATACTGTTGCTTGTCAAGTTTCTTGAAGTAGTCCAGAACGGTATCTTTCAATTCTTCTTGATCTGCAAAGCGTTTCCCTACCAAAAATTTCTTTAAAGGTCCAAATAAATAAAAATCTGATGGGGGCTAAATTTGGACTATATGGAGGATGTTGCAGGACTTCCCAGTTCCACTGTGCCAACCATAGTTTGGTTTGATTTGACATGTGGAGCATAGTCCAGATTTACCCCCTCAGATTTTCATTTATTCAGACCTTTAAAGAAATTTTTGGCGGGGAAATGCTTTTCAGATCATGAGGAATTGAAAGATACCGTTCTGGACTTCAAGCAACTTGACAAGCAACAGTACCATGAAGGGATGTTTAAAGTAGTATCATGCTGGGATAAATGTCTCAACATTTATGGCAATTATGTGAAGAAATAAACAAAAGTATGTAGTTTTTATGGAATGTATTAAATATTTTCTTTCATTATAAATGTTAGTGTAATTTTGGCCTGTACCTTTAATATTGGACTCCCTCGTATATTTTTAACACTGATTTATTTGCAACTCACTTCGACTTCCATAATTAAGCTGTTTGTTCTTTTGTCTGTTAAATATTTTACTAGAATGTTTTATTTTTTTACTATAATCAAGATAAGATTAGCTATTTGGTATTGAACAAGTTATTATGATATTTATTAATCAAAAGATAACACTACATAAAATATTACATTGTTTGTGTATAGATAAGTTAATTTTATTTGTTAATAATATACTTAAGTTATAAAGTTATTAAAGTTATATTAATTTAATATTACATAATGTGTGTATTAAGTGTGTGTGAATATTTTACGTGTGTGGGTACATACACATATATACGTACATGTACATACATACATACATACATGTAAAATATATATTATATAAATTTATATATGTACATAAAAATATAAACTATGAGGGTTTATCAAAGTTTCAACCTTTAGTTTTTTGACTATTCACAAAAGAAGTAACATCAAAGGAAACACATATGATCAAAAGAGGGTACAATAGACAATTTTTTAATATTTGATCTTGACATTAATGCATTTGTTCCATTATTTCAAGAGTTTGAATGTCATCTTCAAAAAATGTGTTTTTTTTGTGAGCAAAGCCAACACAGCACTTCAATCTAAACCTTCTGATCATTGTGAAATCTTTTTCCTGCAAGCACTCTCTTCATTAGCTCAAAAAGACAGTATCAGAAGGGTGCAGAATTAGGGTTATAAGATAGGTGTGAGATAATCTGTGGATAGGGGAATCCCTAATTTTAGGCGGCATCGGGTTGGTAAAACCTGCTCTCTTTGTACTGGATGGCTTTTAAATATAGTTGTTTCCAGATCATAAAATCTGGAGGACAGCTTTTCCTGACATCAGTTAGGATAGTAATAGTTCAAGTCCTAACTTGCGAATATTCCAATATGCAGCAAAATATGTCCCAATAGAAGGGTACTCTGTAGTTTGAGTGGGAGGAGGTTAGTTAAGTCGATAAGGTGTTGGCTAGCTACAAGATAATGAGACAGGTAGGTCAGCAATAACAATGTTTAATAAGCTAAAGCAATGAGTACACAGGGACAACTACATGCCTTCATATATATATCTACAATCATGCCCTTGCAGGACAATCCATTTCGAAATATAGAGACTACTTATCTCTAAGTTCTTAAATGCTAATTGTAGTAGAGAGAGAGTTTACATTTCTTTAAGTAATATACCTCATAGACAGATGATTCCAGATTTCGTTGTATGGGATGTTGGCAAAATGCACCAGGATTGGCAGTCTGTAGCGAGTAGTCCTCCTCCCTTTTGTGTCAGGAACATCTTGGCAGAGAGACGGGAGCCAGGAGACAGCGAGATGAGCTAGGAGACAGACAGAGATTTGGTCCTTCATTTTCTGGAAAAGTGTCTGCTCTGATGCTTGGATTTGAGCCCCTTTTATACACATCCCATATGAGAATGATCTCAGATGATTTTGATTTAATGTGTTCTAAGTTCAAGTTTGGCCTGGGTTTGGCTGATATGAGCCGTCAAGA